CCCCCCCCCCCGTGTAAATAACTCAAGGTCTTGCACGCATGTACACTTGTGTAATAACATATTGGTATGCATGTGTACGCTCACAAATACAGGCGTGCGTATGTTTTTTTTAATTATTTATTAAAGATGTCTGCCTCCTCCCCGCTGTGCGTATATTAACATGTATATGGGAAGAGGCAAACTCAGTCTTCCTATTTCCGAATGAAATGAGTGCCCTCTAGTGGCCGGGAAGAGCATTATCCATGGCTCCAACTTTTATTTCAAGATTCTAGCGACTAGGGAAGAAAGACATTTTCTGGACATTGTTGTTTGGCCGACACGTGGTATTCATTTTCTTTTCTTATTAAAAATGTTATATTTCTCCATGTTATTAAAAACAATGATAAATATTCCCTGTTTGTTTTTTTTATATGAAATAAAGCTACGGAGACTCTGAATTGAGTGAGGTCTCTCCAAAACTGAGGTGTTGCTGAGGAACTCATGAAAAGGATTACTTGGACTCGCCAGTGCATGACGGCCTCTTGTTTGTATTCATGGGAACAAACCCCTAGGGTTTCAGTCAAAAAGCTGCATCACTTCCTCTAAACTGGAAGACTACAATAATATTTCTAGAGACCTTGAAGGCTGTTTAGATAGTCCATCCGATCTCCTTATTTTATGAATAAGAATGCAGAGACTGTTATAGAGGAGGTGACCTGAAAAAGGCCACACAAGGAACTCTTCTTATTCCTGACATTAGAATCTGTTCTCCTGATTCCTTCAGTACTGCTCTTTCCAAAGGTCAGTCACCAGATCAAGAGCCAGCAGGGATGTGTGGCAGGAAGTGAGGGCCTCTCGAGTCACCCAAAGCCCGTATTGACATGGCCATGATCTGCAGTATACAACTGTGGAGGATGCCTGGTCGCTAAACACTCCAGAGAAGGTACGGGTGACTAATTGCGTGTGTGGGCAGGACATGGGATGCTGTCGACAAGAGGTTCTGGAAAGTCTGCCTTCTTACACTGCTACCAACAAGAGGTTCCAGAAAGTCTGCCTTCTTACACCAAAGACCTGATTTGCTTCTGCCCAGTTAGCTTCCTTAGGTACGTCATGTCTGATCCTTCTGGTTGGTTCATGTCTAGGTAGTATCCAGGGTGAGTGACTTTAGCTCCAAATATTAGCATTCCTCAACCTCATTCTAGACAGAAAGGCAGACACTCACCTGCCCGCCTTAAACTGGAGAACTTCCCAGTGGGCATGTTTACCTATGGGAAAGTCAGGAGAGGGGTAGCACCTGGCAGCTTTGAGGATCAAAAACGCGAACAATGGAAGAAAAGGATAGAATTTTCCAGGCAGGGTGAGCCCCAACAATAACAATAACAACTGTCTCCCATGCAGATGAGAAAACAAAGATAGTACCAAGCTATGGGCATCAGAATGCCCCCAGAAGAACATCTTTCCACAGCTCCTATAATCTCTCTCAGAAATCAGGTTTCAATCAGTGTTACAATGAAGGGGTCACAAAGAAGAAGGCCAAGATAATTAGATGGCGAATGTTGTTTGGAAAACTCAGGACAAAACTTCCAAAATCATTCTCTCCTAAGGAGGCTCTTGTTCATCTTATCTCATAAGAAGTCATTCCTTCATCACCAACCTCAGTCCCACCGTCTATAAAGTAAGGGATAAGGGCTTCACCTGTGAGTCCCAAGACAACCTTCCAGGTCCCACAGTCAAATAATAGTGCTCTCCCCCAAACTAATACTTTAAAATCGTCTCTTCAGTGTTTTTATAGCACCATGTTCCTTCACACCTTCTTTTCAATAAATAAGAGGAAAATTAAAACCCAGGATGAGGGGAAATATTCCACAGAGAGTCACGGGGTTCACTGGCCCTACATACTAGAAGAGTAATTTACTATAAACTCCACCCTCTTCTTCTGCCAAGATTCTAAAAGGAAATGCTATTGCCACTTGGAATGAGATGTTGCCTCATTGTGCCAAATCATTCTGAGGTCCTGCCCACTAAATATCTCTAGCTTCTCCTGGGCACTGTGGCAACCTTCCCTACCGCTACTACTCACGGCCTCGGGGAGCCGCAGCAACCCTCGGTGTGAAGCAAAAGAGTCACCGCCAAGAATATGGGGGTGAGGCCTCTTACCCTTGAATTACATTAGCTTCGCTGGATTTCAGAACCGATTGGGCAAATTAACGTGAGACAAGTTCGTAGCAAGGCGGTCCTTTCTGTCGCCTGTCATTGTCATTTCTTCAGGCTGTGCTGGCCCACCTCATCCCCGCCTTCCCCTTACACTTCAGCCCTCGGAGCTGGCGACTGAAGCATTCTCTGTCCGTTTGTCACCCACTCTCCCCCATTTGTACCTGGCATAATATCCTGCAGGATTCCGTAGGCAGAAGAAGCACCAAGCCGTACAACCAAAGGTCAGGGGCCATTGTCTTCCACACACCCGATATCCTCGCCTCTGTGAAAAATAGACAAGACATCTTCAACGTGAAGCTTTTATAGCACTGTGCCCCTGAAGGGGCAATGCTCATAGGAGACCTGACTCTGTCTTCAGTGCTGCCCAAGCAGCTGGCTCTCTGGCCCGCAGCGGCGGCCCTGTGTCCCACCACAGTCTTTACCAGGAGGGTGCCCTGGGAGCACCGGCCCCTCTCGCTCGCTGTCTTTGATTTGCATGGCACGCCTCACTTAGGAATCCCTCTAAGCAAAGCTGCTTGATGGATTTCACCTGCCCTACTGGCTCTAACAAATGACAGCCTGTGTTTAGGCAATGGAAATGTCAGTTTACTCCCTGGGTTAGAACAGGGCTGGGAACTGTGTAGGAGGCTACAGAAGATAAACAGGGATTCTTGTGGAGAACCATGGCCTAGAAATACCTTTGAAGGATAAGGGATAGGCTTATCCTATCAGCTCCTCAACCCAAGAAGTGTGTCTCTCTACATAAACAGGAATTTCTGGAATTGAAGTGTTCTTGTTCCGTTTAACAAAAATTAAGACAAAACTAAAGCAATTGCTTACCATCTCCAACATGTTGGCATGTTATAGGCATGCAATATACTCAGAAATACACCCAACAGAGGAAGAAAATGGATGAAGAGGGCAGGAAGAAAGGAAAGAAAGAGAGGAAAGAAAGAAGGAAATGTGGGGGACTATCTGACAAAATGCATAAGGGACACAAAGGATTGAATAGAACCCGCTGGCAAGGGATTCACCTGAGAATATTAACATTAACTCTTACTATTTTCATCCTGAGTGAGATAGTAACTGAAAGATAGTAGATGTCTACACTCCCAGAAAAAGGATTTGCATAATCAGAATTCTCTGTATGCATGAATAGAGCCTCAAGTACAAATCCATTATTATGCATAATTAATACGTGCCCATACACATTTTTTTAAAAATAAAATTCAATGTGTACCCAAGGGCATGTGCCCCTCCCACCACGACAGATAGTTGGTAGATAGGTAAATGGTAGGTGGATAGATAGGCAGATGGGCATTAGATAAGTAGTGGCGTTGGTGCTTTTATTCCTTTGCTCTTTAATTCTTCTGGGGCCACCCAGCTCCCAAATAAATCCACATGGAGTCTTACTGCTACTTATAAATGCCCAGCCTTAACTTGGCTTCTTTCTAGTCAGATTTTCTTAACTTAAATTATCCCAACTGTCTTATGCCTCTGGGCTTTTACCTTTCTCTATTTCTGGATATCTTTTCTTTCCTTCTTACTCCATGGCTGGCTATGTCACTGTGTGGCTGGGCCCTTCCTTTCTCACTCCTCTATCCTTTCTTCCTAGATTTCTCTTTTTATTCTCTGCCTGCCGGCCCTGCCTATGCTTTCTCTTGCCTTGCTATTGGCCATTCAGCTCTGTATTAGACCAAGTAGGTGTTTTAGATAGACAAAGTAACACAGCTTCTCAGAATTAGGCAAATGCAACATAAACAAATGCAGCACATCTTTGCATCATTAAAGCAAATGTTCCACAGCATAAACAAATATAACACATCTTAAACTAATATTCTACCACAAAATAGATGATAGACAGATGGACACGCAGATGATAGATTGATAGATGATAGATAGATAGATAGATAGATAGATAGATAGATAGACAGACAGAAGATAGATGGTAGGTAGATAGATAGATGATACATACATAGATGATAGATAGATGGATGGTAGATAGATAGATAGATAGATAGATAGATAGATAGATAGCAGGTAGTTAGATAGATAGATGATACATACATAGATG